TAAATTAAAATTAAATCCAAAGCTTATTACATCGGTGTATTATGAGTGGACATAAATTTTTTTATATTTATTTATTTTTTTTTTATTTTAAAAAAACCATTTATTACATTTTATAATCACAATCATACAATTACAATGGTTTATCTACTTCCTGTAAGCAAAGCTTGTGTTGGAAGTAGAGAGTTATGAATTATGAATTTATTGTTGTAATGATAATTAATATTATTTATCTATATATACTAATGAAAACAGATTTAAAAAAGTACAAATAAAGAGAAAAAAAAGAAAAGAAAAATATTAAATATAAGTACAGCATTTTTAAAAAACTTAATACACAGATCATATATACTATATACATAGAGTACCTACCTATATAATATACAAGTTTACAAGTATTTTAAAGCTCATGTAACAATGTTTCACTTATATATCTATTTACATTAATTTTAGTATTTGTTCTTAAGAATTTTTTTACATTAAAGTTTAAGGTGTTGAATAGTTTTGGTCCCAGATAGTCGATGCATTTTTGGCCTATATTTTTTTTTGGATAATTAATCTTAATATCATAAGCTATGGTTTCACGCTTATTTCTTATATCATTCGGCGGAGAATATTTTTTTAGAGTATGACATATAGCAAATTTTTTGTACAAGAGACTTATCGGTAAAACATTAAGTTCTACATAATTGTTCTTAGTGGATCCGGATTTATTTTTTTTGTTAAGACATGTACGAACTGCATTATTTTGTTGTGTATATAGTGGATTAAGTATATTATCTGTAGTACCACCCCATACAATTATTCCATACTGACATATGGACTGGTATAGTGACATGTATACAATTCTCATCGTGTCATTAGATATTAATTTATTTAAGCTATATAATTTAAACGTAATCGTCCTTAGTCGAGTTATTATATTTAATACATGTATATTCCATCTCATATTGCAGTCAAACATCAAACCTAAATATTTTATTTTAGTCACTCTATTGATTGTGGAGTAGGTTGGAGTGTCTCTGTTATCATAGTTACAAACTTTAAAATGTTGTACTGTAAAATTTGATAAATTATAAATTGAAAATGCCATAAAGAAAGTTTTATTATAGTTTATAGTTATTTTCTTATAGTTGAGTTTTTGTATGAAACAGTTTAATTCATTAATTGCTTTCGTTTGTACTAGTTCCCATGTTTTATCTGAAAATAATAAGCACGTATCATCCGCATAGGTAACTATTGAACCGTCAAGTTGCATATTACATATACTATTTATATAAATTATAAATAGAACTGGACCAAGTACACTTCCTTGTGGTACACCACAATTTATTTTAAAATCATTACCTATTATTCCGTTAATCGTAACCATCTGTCTTCTATAACTCAAATAGCTTGAAAACCATTTTAAGCTTTCATTAACAATACCAAAACCAGGCATTATGTTTAGTAATTCATTATGATCAACGGTATCGAAAAAAAAAAATAATCGAATAAATAATCGAATAATTTGTTTAATATATGGTTTACAAATGCTATTGTAATACGTATTATTGTTATAAAATGTAATTCAATATATACTTAAGAATATTCTGAGTAATATAGTTCAAGTTTCACATCGTTATCTATAACAGATGATTTATAATTAATATATTTAATACATGTCCATTGCAATGGACAAGGGGACTGAAAGGGTTAATATACTTTTGAAAAATATTAATAATAGTATTAAAATTTAAGTATTTAATCTTTTTCCATAAACGCTTAAAGTCTAAAGAAAATAAGCACTGATCTACGAAGACCACATAAATCTATCAACCATTTAGCATATAGATATGTTTTTAACCCCATGATCTCGGTTAATATATCATAATATATAGGTAATAGCATTGATTTTATAATATACTATACTATAAATACTATGAATATATTATAAAATCAATGGTGAAAAGTACAACTGAGTAATAAATGCTTATAAAAAGATATTCAAAATATATGCATTTTGGTAACACATAGGTAATATGAATACTAGTAAGTAGTATTAAACTCAATATCAACATATTATGAATTGTATTTAAAATCAATACATTAATTTATTATTAATAATTATTATTTGTAAATTATAACACTTTGAAAGCATTATGTATGATAATTTAGTGAATTAACTCTTACATTTTACATATATTTTTTTTAAAAAGGAAATTTAAAAACGACAATATTTAATAATATTAATAATTGTATTTGATAAAAAGAAAGTATTTAAATCCATGCATACAAATAATTTAGAGCATAGAAGTCATTATGCAATGAAAAATTTTGAATTTTATTAATTAAATCATAATATATTTTTAATTTTCTATGGTTTTGGTGTACAAAAGTGTTCGTTTGTCGGCCTCTTTAGGACATATAGCGCTCCCGGTGGTGACGACTATCTGTAGTGAAATTTTCAATCAAGTGTTCAAACAAGTGACGACACCTTATCAATACACCTTGGTGCGTCCCTACATCCACAACTTGATTGATATCTGATAAGTTATAAGTTATCACTTATAAATCACTGATAAGTATTATCTACTTAGGTGCCTCGAATAGCACAATATCTCACTTAATTCTCAAAGGTTTGTCAGGTTAGGCTAACCATAAATTATTTGACTCAAAGGTCCATCACTGTTTTAAATTAATTTATATATACACTATACAGACTTTGAAGAAACATCAATAATTGTGTTTACATCGACTTACACGTAAGAATGCACCTTAAACATATATTTCTTGCTCAACATATTATCGCCAAAAAATATTTATTTTTTCAAACATTAAAAATTAGTTGGATTATGAAAGACTAACAAATTTGTGATTTTGAACTGATATGTTCTTGAAAGATCAATGGTCCGATACACTTTAAAATGTTTAAATGTTTCACAAGATGTCGATATACTTTTTTATGCAATAGAAATGTTTACTGTACAGATTCTTCTGTGGGCATCTGTGGGTGTGTAGATGAAATAAAGTGTTGTTTTGAATTATTAAAATACTCCCAAAGATATCAAGTTACTTTTATATACCACAGAAGTTTCTACTGGAGAGATATTTCTGAGGGGTTGTAGTAACTTGAAGTTTTTGTCTTGATGAATTTGTCAAAGTAGCAACTAAGTACGATCTTTGGTGTGAAAATTCAAACTCTATCAAAAATCCTTCTGCTCAATGTTGGTCAGATATATCCAAAGACTTAAATTATTTGATCTCTTTTAAATACGCCTATATAATTGTAAAAGAAAATAGAAATAAAATTCGCAACAAACTTATTTCCAACGACATTCCTACATGCACAGATGAATTGGACAATATCAACAAATTTGACGATTTCCATAGTTCCACCTCTTCAGAAACATTTAGTGATGACACACTAAATTTTAATATTACACTGTCTGCTGATGAATGGGGAAGTTTGTATGACAATAGGCCTCAAATATATAAGCGTTCTGATAAAAAATCCGAATATCGATCTTACTATACACTACAACCTCATAAATGGACCTCAGTAATACATAAGCATTTATACCATAGATTCTTAATCTTTTCTGGGCCATGGACCCCTTTGAAGTATAAAATATAATCAAGGACCACCCCCCAAGAAAAAAATAAAATATATAAATAAATAAATAAAATTTTTATTTTAATATTGAATTTTTTTTGATAATAAATCTAACACTTAATACTATATTCAATTATTGTGAATTATCACTTTTTCTTATAGCCAAAAATCAATTTTAATATGACATTTGTTGTTGTTTTGATTGCAATATTGCCTTGAAATCTGGGACCGTGTTGAACAGAGCAACACGCATATCGTCCTTAATGTCCAATCAATTTCTTGCTTTATTTTAATTGTGAACATTCTAAAAAAATCCAGACTCACAGAGATAGGTAGTAAGAAATGGAATCAAAAATGTCATTGGCATTGATGCAGCTCGCGGATAAGCCTTCGTCAACGAACACCAAAATTCGATTAAATTGTTTGTTTGAAAATATTGGTGCGAAATTTCTTTTGATCTTAAATCAATTAATTCGTCTTTAACAAGGTCTGAATCATTAATTGTATTTAATTCCACTAGAAAAGAATTGCGTATCCATGTTTCTGATTTCAAAAATGTAGAATCGAAATAATTGAATGAAATTTAAACCAAATAAATTTTCAAGCACAACAAGATATTGCTTAGTGGCAGAATGCGGGCAAGACATTATTAATGTTATCTTAAAAACGCTATTGAAACAAATTTATTTTCGAGTTATCCAAAAAAACTCACAGTCATCCGTGGACCTCTGAGTGTAACCATCTATGGACCCCCTGGTTAAGAACCTATAATTTATACGAACAAACTAAACTTCCTTGCTCAATTGTTTATAAATACGCTAAAATATACCAGGGAGGTCAAGTATTTTTAAAAATTGCTGGTCACTTTCCTACGTTATCATCAGATTTAATATCAAAGAAATTTTAAATCATGCCGAACTCATAAAAAAGAAGAATTATTGGTGATACGAAAATTGAGTTTGCTAACCAATTAAAAGATCAAAATAAATCGGTGTCATTTATTCAACGTACAATGGCTAGATCTATTATGGATTATGGTGATCTAATACCTAGTCACATTCCTTCATTAAATGCAATAAGATTAATTAAGCATAAGGCTTAGAAAAATGATCAAGTTCATGATAACCCAATAATTTCTATTTTGTCACTAAAAGGAACACCACCTTACATTAACATAATTAGAGAAATTGGACACGATAAGTTCTTCGTGCATTACTGGACTGCGAGTGAAGTGGATAATTATAGAGTCTATGCAAAAAAAACTTCAGTACCCACAATATCAATTGACGCCACGGGGTCTGTTATAAAAAAAATGACTTTGTTTTCTGGGAGGCAAACACATAATATTTTTTTGTACGAGATTGTCGTGAATGATCGAAAAAACCAAAACCAATTTTGTGTCACACACATGCTTTCAGAAAAGCATGACAACAACAGCATCAGCTATTGGTTAGCAGAATGGCTTCGTGATGTGAAAAGTCCACTGCTATTGGTCGTAACTGATCAATCGCTATCATTAATGCAAGCCGTTACACAAACCTTCACGCAATTTTCTAGCCTTGATGCATATATTTCGAACTGTAGTAAATTGATATTAAAAGAACCCGGTTTCGAAATTCCAAAATGCATGATTAGAAATGATTTCAATCATATGATGCATTTAATTAGCACATGGCCTAGTTAAAAAGTTGCACGCCAAGAGTTAAACAGTTTTACATGAGAGCAATTGGTTTGCTCGTTGTAAGCACCTCAATAGGTGATATTAAAACAATATTAAAGTCAATTTTTACTACCACTCTACACAAATGTGATGGGATAAATGATGATCAGGAACCAACTGCATGTGAGAATGCTAAAAGGTTCTTAAAACAAAGAATAGCAACTCATATTGTAGAAATTGATTATGAAAATGAAGCAAATGAAGAGTTACACTATGAAGAAGAAACCGATGATGTGTCGTCTCCAGTAGCTTCCACTAAGTATATGCCAGGACATGAAACGATTATACGAAGAATGTGAACAAACTAGTCAAGTTACAAGTAACTTAACCGGCGATTACAACAATATGCAATATGCTCCGTCCCTAGCGAAAAGACTATTCAACTTTTGCAAATACATAACTTGTTGGTCTGCTTTGATGGTCCCTATTTTTGAATATGGTAGTTTAACAAAAGTCAAAAACAAGTGCTTCCTCCGAAAAGTATGTTCAAAGATCTTAAGTCAATTGTTTTTAAACACAAAACTTTACCACTTCGTTTAGATAATTTTTTTGTAACTTACGTTGAATCAATTATTGGTATGATGAATTTAATGAACACATCTGTTTCTGTAGCTCAGTCAAAAGAAGATCTTTTGGATATTGAACATGAAACCCAGCAACCAATTTCAGAAATTCAAGTCAAATTAAAACGTCTTGTTTGAAATTCAAATACATACGATGAACTAAAACGAACTATTACAGAAACTGAAAATGAAATCAAAACTCCTACTACAAACATTAAAAACGAACCAAAACGGCTGATATTGGACGAGGAAGACGGACCCGAACAAAATATTTTTGATTTTATGGAAGACTGGATGAGGTTAGGAAAATCCAAAATAAAACAAAAAAATCTAATTATATAACAAAAGATCCAACGATACTGCACTGCAACGATAAGAGCCGATCAAGAAATTCAGTCATTAGCGTTTTGCGGAATGGATCTATTTCAGAATTGAAAAGTATTCGTATTGATAACGATTGTGTGTCTCTCATAAATACATGTATATTTGATTCAATATCACAAGTAATGTTTTGTGCTTGCGCTGATAGCGAACTTTATCCAGAGTGTGTTGAAAGAAGAACAGAAAATAAATTACAATCCTATAGGAAACGAGGATTGCTTTTGAAACACTTATTTACGAATCAATGTACTTCCGAATAGACAGTTATTGATGCAGCTTGTACAGTTTTGTCATGTTAAACAAAATGTTTGCCAACTTTCCTTCTGTTGTTGCAACAATGGTATGTCCTGATTGTTCAAATAGATTTTTAAGGGAAGAAATAATTGTATCAGTAAATCTACCAACTGATGATTTAGTTTTCTTAACTGATTTAATGGAAGACTTTTATTTTACACCATCACATTGTAACTTTAAAGATCATTTAATTATCGAAACAGTAGTACCTCTTACTCCACAGCGAAAACTAAAAAAATATCTTGACTTAAAAGTATAAAAAAGTTTCTAAAATATATTATATTTATGTTAAAAAAGTGCTGTAAAAAGTTTAAAAACAATTTCATGTTATTAAAATTGATAGTTTAACGTATATAGGTCTACGATTGTATTACTTTATTTATTTTGATTTAATAGTTAAATAAAATGTTACCAGTTTAGTCACAAAACTGTATAGTGCTTTAAGAAGATTCCAGAACATATGCGGTCAATACCTTTTTGGTGGCATTTGCGGTCACTCTTTTTTTATACCTATGGGCTATGACTAGTGTTACAATACTAACATAATAATAATAATAATTTTAAGCAATATTTTTAATATATAAAATATAATACAATAAACTACAACTTTCCCTCACACTTTTATAGGCTTAGGACCATAGGCGTAGCGTGATGATTTTTTTTGGGGGGGCTATAGCCTTTTTTTTTTGTGGTATCAACGACGCTGCCGCAACTGCTTGCGAATTACTTTGTATAAGGGCTATAATGATTCAGGTACAGAACATATTATATTCTACAAATATAATTATAGAAAAATATAAAGGAACAAAATATAAAAAGGACTAAAGAAGCACATTATTAAGTAAACTATAAATAAATAATATACCATACATCATATTATTATCAAATACATATTTTGTATTTGAATTAAATATTTAAAAAAAAAACATTTTAAATAGGAAATTATGACTAATTACTATATTATAATTTATAAGGTTTAATTTAAACTTTAAACGTCTGCTTTTTTGCGCAAATATATTAAGAACCTCTTCAGATGTGATATTATTAGCTAAGTCCCTTTCAATATGAAGTAACGATAGATTTGAAAATCTATCGTTAGACATTGAATTTCGTAGCCATTGACTTGAGTTTATGAGTTTTTCTTGACTGGATTCTTCCTCTGCGCTGTCAACACTAATAACACTTGGATTGTCTTCTCCATATTCTTCATCAGCATGTTTATCAAGATCACTAGTGGACTGAATGGGATTTTTAACGGGTGGATTATTAATCGTGGTCTTTACTTTATTAAATATACTAAACATCGTTAAAAATTGCAGGTATTTAGATATTCCTAAGTTAGGACTGTCAATAAATAAAATAAAATATCTACTGGCGTGCTTAAAAGTTTTTTTCTTTAAATATTTACTACAAATAAATACTATTTTTTACTAAAAATTATTATTATATTTAACTATTAATTTATGGACTCATCAATTTTATTGAGTTGCGTCAGTTAATTGTTATGGTTTATTAAGCAAGTTTTTGAACGAACGAAAGAATTTTAGACATTTTTTTAAGTCTCTGTCCTCTTCATATGATTTTAATGTTTCGTCCTTGAATTTTTTCATTATCTCTATACTCATCTACCAGTCCTACATTTTGAACTTTTCTCCATAGAGATTGGTTGAAATGATAATTACAGCCACTTATTTGAGTATTAGGAAAAACATCTTTAATCGCTTGAATAGTTGCTGCTTCAAAATCAATTGTAATTATATTGGGGTTAAAGTTTGGAATATGCTCTTTTATAAGTTTAAATAATCGAGTATATATATTTTTTGTTTTATTTGGAAGCAAAACAAAAATTACTGGAATTACATTTGTTTCACTCGATATGCTTCCAATATCTACGTGTATTCTGTATATTTGTAGGTATTGCTTGCTACAACTTTTAAAAGTCCCGTCAAAAAAAAAAATTTATATATGTAGATGCAGCTTCTCGTTGAGCACTATTTGAAATAGCAATAATTCTTTCTTCGACATCATCGTCAAACAATAAAAATTGGTAATTGTTACCAAATTGTGAAATATCATCGGGTATAATTATTTCTTCTTTCGAATTTGGATCTAATGTATAAGTGTCCTTTTTTTAATCCTATTTAAAGTTGTCTTGGCGGAAGCGTAAGTAGTAATATTCGTAACGTGGTCATAGCCTTTTTGGAATAAAGGGGACATCTCTTGACGGAAAATTTGAGATGATGTACATGAAGACTCTCCTCGCACTCTTTTTCTTGCATTATCAAATTGTTTTTTTACTTCGCTTGCTGCCACATCAGGTTTACATAAATGATCGGAAAAATTAATTATTTCTAAATTTTTAGTTCTCATACGACCCGTACACTTATCCTTTTTTTCATTCAGACATACCCAAACTGTCCCATTTTCATTTTGTCTGTATTTTCTGAATTAATAACCATTAAAAACTGGTAAAGACTTACCTTTTGTTGTTTCGATTATTTATATTTCTTGGCCTACTGCATCTGTGAAGGAATACATTTCTTACTCTGTGTTGCCTATCACGTTTTGTCTACAACTGATAAACACATGTATCGAAAAACATGACTGCCCGCCGTAGTAGCAATGTGCGATAATAATTATTATTATAAAGAAGATATCTAAACCCAAAAGCAAGTACATAATAAGTTATATTAATTGAGCAGAATACTAAATATATGTGAAGTATTTTAGAATTTAACCTTATTAATTTCTGTTGGTACTGGTAACGCGTTATACATCAACAAAAACCGTGATACTATCATAGATATATAATAGTACACTTTAGAAGTTTCAAGTACCCACGAGTAATATTATTCAATCACAACAAAATAACTAAAATAGCTATTCTAAGTTTTTTTAATATGTAATTTCGTCCAAATTTAATTTAAAATGTCTCTAAAAAATAACTGTGTTCATATATTTTTTAGATTTTTTGGTTACAGTATGAACTATTTACGAGAACCTTTGTGTTGAATTTGCAGTCCTTAGCTATAAAAACTGAACATTTTATAATTTATTAATTACAATGATTGATAATTTTCGAGATTTTGATAAATGTTGTCAAAATTTGATCTTTAAATGCTTATAATAAAAAACTGTGCCTATATATTTTTAAATATTTTTCAACTGATATTGTAACAATATATCAGGAGCCTAGTATTAAATTTTTACACTTTTTGGCCCAACAGATAAAACTTTATTGATATTTATAGAAAAAGAAACTAAAAAAAATTGAAAGCTGTAAATGTCCATAAACAGCTCAAAAAGAGTCAAAATATTTTCAAAATTTTATGGTGTATAGGAAATGCTAATATAAACATTCAGTGAAATTTTCATGTATCTACAGTTATTCGTTTTTGAATTACAACAAAATAAGGAAATCGCTACATGAGAAATCGAGTGAACATCCAATGTTGTAAAAATTTGAATTTCAAACGCTCATAAAAATTTAATTTGACTTTCCGGTAGAGATTTTTTTATTGATAAAGGTAGACAAACTTATGAGTAATCTTGTATAACATTTTCAAATCTTAGATTTAAAAAGAAAAATTTTTACGAATTCTTAACTCAAAATAATTCGCTAATTTTCGTGATTTTCCCATATTTTTACAATTTTTGAACTTTAATTGCTTATAAAAAAAAATTGTGACTAAGGATTTTTAATATTTATCTTCTGCCTTTGAAACAATATATTAGGAGCCTTCTATTAAATTTTCAAGCTTTCGCAACCAACAAATAAAATTTTATTGATATTTTTAGAAAAAAAACTAAAAAAAAATGGAAAATGAAAATGTCCCTAAACAGTTCAAAATAAATCAAAATATTTTTAAAATGTTATCGTGTATAGAAAATGCAAATATAAACACCATTGAAAATTTCATGTATATACGTTCATTTGTTCTAGAGTTACACCAAAAACCAAAATCGATTTTTTGGAAAACCAATTTTGCGTAAAAATTCCCGTTTTTCCCGGCGCTTATGAAAACTACTGGGAAATTTATACCTATGACCCCCAAAGTACCAACTAGATTCACTTTCCTATCAGAAAAGCTACTGATGAAGAAAATCCTAGCACGTTTACTGTCCTAAAACGTGATGACAGACACAAAAAAAAATAAAAAGAAACACACATCATTGTAAAATCAATACATTCATCGTTTCACTCAGAATCTAAAAAATAATAGTCAATGTTTCTAAATGAAAATAGTAGAGGTGGGTCGAACTGTTCGAAGTTCGAAAAATCGAACCGAACTTTAGGTGTTCGGTTCGAGTTCGAAAGTCGAACCCAGTTTAAAAACCGAACCGAACCGAACTCGAACAAAAAAGTTCGAAAATCAAAATAGTTCGAAAATTAAAGTAGTTCGAACTCAAAAAATGTACGAACAAAAAAATTCTAACATGTCAAACGTTTCGAACTAAAAATGTTTCCGATTTGTATTTTAGTTTTAGTTTTCCTATTGTCTATAATCTATAATCTATATAGTTATATAGTAGGTATATACAATATTCTATATTATATACTATGTATTTAAATTTTAAATTTTAAATATTATAAATCTAAAATTAAAACCATTATATTGTCCGGGCATTGATTATTATTTATTTCTTGTGCTATTGAATTATTTATAGACTTGGATAATTATTATTTAATATTTTGGTTTTGTCGTTTTGTACTATTTATAATTTATCATTTATATAATCGAAGTTCGTTACACGCTGAACAATATAAAATAAATATCTTTATCATTATAATTTATTTTTTATAATCATTTGACATTTATAATATAAATGTATAATACTATAATTCTAAACTAAAATGTTACAACCGATAAGACTTCAATATATTAAAATTTGAATAGTAAATAATAATAATTTGAAAAGTTCGGTTCGAGTTCGGTTCGACATACTAAGGTTCGGTTCGAGTTCGGTTCGATATACGATTAAAAAGTTCGGTTCGAGTTCGGTTCGACATACCAAGGTTCGGTTCGAGTTCGGTTCGAGACCATATTTTTGAGTTCGACCCACCTCTAGAAAATAGTAATACCTTCATTTTTTTTGGTGATGGACCACTTAGTTCATCGATGTTACAATTTTGTAAGTATAAACTTGTACTATCGAAACTTTCAGTGAAATTAATATTTTTTGGAATTGCTCCTGGACGAAGTTTTGATCTTTTTCGACATATCTGTCGAGAAAGAAAGACTGTTAATAATTATAATATTGAGGATTTATTAATAAAATAAAATTGATATTTAATACTTACAATATATTTACTTATACCTTGACCAAATTCCCATGTTTTTATAATATCATCCGTCTCAAAATGTAATTCGCAAATTCTTGAACTTGCCTTTAATTGAAAGCCAATCGATTGTTCCCACAGATACAACAAAGTTTCATCTTTAGGAACTAAGAAGGTACTTTTATTTTTTGTTTTACATGAAGGAACACAGCAAGTCATTTTAAACAATAATATAACAAGAAATCCAACAATCTTTTATATATTATGTTAATGTAAGAATTAATTGTTACATAAATAGAAATTTTGTTAGATTTTTTAATAAAGTCATTAATGGTTTTGTTTTATATAGAGCGTACATAAATTAAAAGAAGTAGATGAAGAAAAAGCAAAAAAGGCTCTAAGAACAGGAACTAAATTGCAACCATACGTCGTCTTTGTTGAAACTGATGGGCAAGTGACATCGTTTTATGTAGTTATTAATAAATATTTTTATAAAGTGGAAAGTGCATTAAAGACAATTGATGTTTGCTTCAAATCTTTTTTTGCTTTTCACTTAAATTATACACCAGAATGTGAGCAAGTGTGGTGTTTTATACAAATGTATATGTACAGTATTAAAATAAGTATGATAAAAGTTTTCAAGCGGTTAACAACATGATACATGATTTAAACAATATAGTTGATTATTAATTTCACATTGTATTACAAATTATTATAATTTATAGTTTTATTCATTATCATTTAATACAAAATACTTTGTAAGCTATCTTATACTCATTTAATATTAAACTAACTGATATACATATCTACTAGTACAATGTCTTGTTGTTTTATATGTTCAGATACTTTAAATTCTCCCTTAGATTTACTAAGAAATATCAAATTATTTCATTTTTTTGATAGAATAGCTGAATATAAGTGTATAGAACCTTACTGCCACAGGACTTATGACTCATTTGATTCTTTTAGCAAACAAAAGGTCGCATTATTGTTAGTTTTGAACAATTAGAAAATATACTACCAAAACCTACACTACCAAATAATATATCCGTTAATTTAATAAAAGGGACAAACTATGGGAAGCACTGGAAGTTCTAGGCATTCCTAAAAAGTACGTAAGCCTTATAAAAGGGTGTAACAACAGAACTGTGTGCAGAGTCCGTTTCCTTCAAGAAATGTCTGAAACTTTTGAGGTAAAATCAGGCCTTAGACAAGGTGATGCTCTATCACCCACCTTGTTTAATCTAGCATTAGAAAAAGCAATGAGAGAAGTATGGGACGGTCGAAAGATGGAAATATGTGGGGAACGAGTAATATTGGCATACGCAGATGACATTGTGGTAATGGGAGAAACTAGAGACGAAGTCATGAATACTGCGTCCAAACTCTTGAAAGCAAGTAAAACCATAGGGCTGCGTGTAAATGAGGAAAAGACGAAATACTTAATGGTAGCAAGAAGAAGCCCAAACACAGACCACATAACAGTAGATGATTATAGTTTCAAGAAAGTGGAGGTATTTAAGTACCTAGGTGTTAACATAAATAGCAACAACGACATGCATGAAGAAATCAATGATCGAATAGCATGTGGCAATCGATGCTACTATAGCATAATGAGACTCCTTAAATCAAAACTACTGTCACGTAATTCAAAGACACTACTGTATCATAGCTATCTAAGACCAATAATCACATACGCGAGTGAAACATGGTCACTGACCAAAGGAGACAGCAAACGGCTAATGACCTTCGAAAGAAAAGTACTGAGAAATATATACGGCCCGAAATTCGATGCAGAATCGCAAACTTATGAAAGAAGGAATAATCAAGAACTACAGGAGTTATATAACAGGCCAAATATTATTGCATATATAAGAAGCAAGCGTCTGGAATGGTTCGGTCATGTTTTGGAGAGCGGATGGACAAGTAATAAAAGAAGTTTTAATTAACACAATAAATAAAAAACGTCCATTAGGAAGACCAAGGACCCGATGGGTGGACGTTATAGCTCAAGATATAAAAAGCATAGAGGAAGCGTCATCTTTTGACGACGCATACGATAGAGAGAAATGGAGAGGTTTGGTGATGGCAGCGATGGCACTTAATGGGCCGATAAGCTGAAGAAGAAGAAGAAGAAGAATTTAATAAAAGAAACAAATAATGATAAAGTAGACATATCTGAAATCGCAATTCTTAATCTTGAAGTAACTGTTGATGCATTTCAAAAAATAGTTACTATGAATGCAATTTCTGTAATATCTAAATGGTACAATGAAGCTGTTGTACCAAGAAACAAAGTTCAAGGCCTTATTAATGATATAAATGTATTTAATTCAAATTGTATGGAAGTATTGAAAAATAAAGTATTAAACACTTTGGAAGGAAACAAAAGTGATTTAATTTCAATTCCTGAAATATCAGATATGTTTAATGTTATGAACAAACCTTTTATCAATCTAGAATCAGAGTATAAATAATTTAAATTTTTAGAAGAGTTGGATGTTTTTATTAAACCTGTAGAAATTGCTGTTGGTAGCAGAGATTAAGATATTGTTGAATATAGTAATGTTGCGATAGACTCTGTGTATGTTAATGTTTGTTTTATTCCCTTAAGATCGGTTTTTATAAGGTTTTTTGAACAATCCAGTGTTTTAACAACTATTTTGAAGTATTTTAATGATATGAAATCTATGAAAGGAGAAATTATTAGTAGTTTTATACAGAGTGAATTATGGAAAGATAAGTGTGTAAATAATCCTGGTAAAATAATAATTCCTTTTTTTTTTATACTTTGATGAGTATGAAACTGCTAATCCTCTTGGATCCCATGCAGGTAAAATAAAAATAGGAGCGGTTTATATTTAATTTGGATCATGCTTCCCTCCAGAATTTAGTTCGTCTTTAAATTATATCTTTCTTGCTCTACTATTTAACGCTAAAGATAGAAAAGAGTTTGGAAATAAAAATATTTTTAAAGAGTTAATTGCTGAAATTAACCATTTACTAAATAATGGCATAAACATTAATATCAATAATCAAAATTACAATTTAAATTTCTCTTTAGCATTAATTCTTGGCGATAATTTGGGTTTACATTCAATGTTGGGATTTAGTGAAAGTTTCATGGCAAACTTTCCATGTGGATTTTGTAAGTCTTCTAAAATTGACTGTAATTACTCGGTAATTTGTAGCAGTACTAAATCACGCAATGAAGAGAATTACTTACAAGATTTAGCTACAAATAACTTGTCATTGACAGGGATTAATGAAGAATGTGTATGGAATCAAATTAATGGGTTTCATGCAGTTCATAACTATTCTGTAGATTTAATGCACGATATTTTAGAAGGTGTTGGTTCGTATGATATATATGGCATACTATATGAATTCATTATTAATTTCAAGTATTTTTCTTTGGAACAATTAAATAATCGAATACAATATTTTAGCTATGGTTCTCTTGATATTCAAAATAAACCGCAAATAATTACTATTGATGTTATAAAAAAAAAAGAAAAAAGTTAAAATGTCTGCTAGTGAAATGTTAAGTTTTAGTCGACATTTGTTTATTATGATTGGTGATCTGGTTCCAAAAGATTCTGAATATTGGCAACTTTATGTACTGTTGAGAAAGATTATTGAGATAGTTACATTAAAATCAATCCAACCTTCATATTATGCATTACTTTTAACAACATTAATCTCAGAACATCACCAGTTGTATTTAAAATTCTTTAACACCAACTTAAAACCAAAACACTACCATTTGTTACATTACCCAGATATTATGAAAAAAGTTGGCACCTTGTCCCATTTATGGGCTATGAGATATGAATCAAAACACAGAGAGTCTAAATGAACTGCCCATTCCATTACTAACAGGAAAAATATTCGTCTTGCATTAGCTTTAAAACATCAATTAAAATTTGCTTACCGCTTGCTATCAAAATCAAGTATTTTATCCTCATCAATAAATATAGGGAAAGAAATAAGTTTGTCTGAAGTTGTCATAGAAAATATTCAACTTGACATTAGTGGTCCAACTATTGATTTTAATTTTGTGAGATTTGTGTCTTGGGTGGAGGTGAAGGGTACTCGATATTCTACTAAGCAGTCTAAACATAATACGATAATAATAGTTGATTAGAAGATTTTCCAATATTTATAACAGTAAAATATTTTTTTTTAAAACCCCAGAATGACATACCATTTTTAATTGGTCAATGTTTCAAAACCTTACAGTTTGACGAACATTTTCAGGCTTATGAGGTTAAAAACTGTAATGATTTAATGTGTATTTCTTTCAACGATCTTCTTGTTGAACATAGTCCATGTGTTCTTAACACAATATCTAATGAATGTGCATATATATCTTGTACATTTTAAAGTACCTAATAGTCAATAGATGTTCATATGTATTTTTTGTTATTAATTTATTAATTAAGTATTTATTTGTTTACATTAAACTTAATAAATAATTAATGCTATGTTATTACCTGCTATATTATATACCTACTAAAACTATAATAAAACGCTAATAACGCGTATAAGATCCGCGCGGGGCGCTGACGGCACTCCGCGTTTCTTCCATGACGACCAATAATAATACTTCCCGCTCGTTCGCTATTTCACGAGTTCACGACGAGTGTCTCGAGAGCAAAATTGCGCCACCAATCAGAATCGTTCACATTTGTTATCACTATTTGTGAAAATCACGTTTCTTATCATAGATAATAAATAATAATATATATAAAAAAATAAAAGCACATTTTTTCAGATAAATCGATATTAGATAATCATAAAGCATAAGTGACAAATTATACTTACTTGTAAGTACAAGTGTTACTGTGTAAGTTCTGTGTTATAAAAAAGTTCGTTTTATATAATATTGTCAACCTAAAGCAAATAAAAAAAATCACATAATATTTGTCAACCTTAAGTCTATCTATAATAGTTACAGTAAAATTAAAATATGTCATAATTAAATAAATACATTAAAATATTTGTCAAACCTAACGTCCTAAAATATAAAAATAAATCATAGTAAAAAAAGCATGTGGTTATTAAAATATATTACTGGTAAGTATGATCGTGGGAAGTATGTATGTTTTGTACTTCTCCCAATACCAATCCTTCCTTCAGAGATTTCTTTTCGTTACATTCTATTCTACCACTGAGTGATTCAATTTTTCTTTTTTTGGCCACAAATCGTTTCTGTTTATCGATGTTCTTGTTTACAGGTTCCTTATTTTCTTCTTTTTCGATTATCTTTCGTTTTCCTTATAATATTTGAAGTAAGGAACTGCTATGTTTATTAGGGTTCAAAATAATATGTAACTATATATATTATAGTACTATAGTACTAACTATACTAATTTAGTAAATGAAAAATATAAACAATTGTTGCAAAACTGGTATTGTATATTTTCCAAATAAATTTACAAAAAGTTATTCTGTCTCCAATCTCATTTTAGTACTCAACAAATCATTCTGTTATTTGGTTTAATGATTTTATAAATAATAAAAAATAAATAAATAATCATTATTGGTATAATAACTATTAAATATAATTAAAGGGAAAAAACCACAACATATTAAACATTTTATGTTTTGTATTTTCAAAGTAAATAAATATAACATATTAACATATAAATAATACAGTGACAGTGATTGATTTTTCATTTAATATTATACTCTACGTTTGTCAATTTCGATTTTATATGTAAACTAGCTGATCCCGTGTACTTTGTTACCCGTTAAATGTACCAAATCTATGACTTAAACTTTAAAATTTTCTTTGGTTTTAATTATATTAACGTTGTTTATAAATTATTTTTGATTTCAACCAATTTTTATTTTTATAATAGCTTTAAAACCCATGGCAACCATTTATAAACAAAAATATCCACCGTAAATCTCAACATTCCTGTTTGAGCATCTCCCCGGAATGGGCCTACCGGGTCCGATTGTGAATCTAAACCATTCAAAAGCCCACTCAACTACTAAAGCACACAAAAAATGGCATCAAAATCGGTCAGCCGTTTAGGAAGAGTTCACTTACAAACACACGTACAGTAGAATTATATATATAAATAATTATTTGCCCTTAGGTTTAAAATATTAGTCACAATTATAAAATGTAAATATAATGAATTGATTCAGTGATTCAATGACATTTTAATGAGCTGAATCACATGAATTAGTTCACTAAAATGAATTGAAAGTACCCATCATAAACCAGCTGTATGATTGATGATTATTATATTATCACATTATAATTTTTATAAAGGATGATAAGAAACATGATTTTCACAAATAGTGATAACAAATGTGAACGATTCTGATTGGTGGCGCAATTTTTCTCTCGAGACTCGTATTTCACGTCGCCGCTTGCTTATCTCCCTTTTCGTTATCGACGGCGATTGACGTGAATATTTTCGAATAATATTATTTTCCCGAGTTATTCCGTATTTCTATATATTATAATAAAATTTATTTTTTTTACAAAAATTGTGATATTTCCGTGTGTAATATATAATATGTAAAGCGAAAAATTCAGAAACGGTTCAAGTGCTCGAGATTCAAAAAACTGTTTTTTCCAATTTTTTCTTTGCATTATTGCTACATAATTGTTTTTAAAATCTTCTAAAATGTTATGTTCGCTTTAATAAATTGTTAATGTTATTATTTTGAATTTTATTATTATTATCGTACCTATGCAAATTTTATATTTAATAGCTGCCTGTGTAAGTCGATTCCGGGCGTTGTGGAAGCCGCAATTAATCAGCATTTCAATAATATTAAAAATATAAGTAGTTTGAATGCACGGATTAAATAGACATTTTTTATGAGTATTGCAGTACATTTAACTATTATAGCTAAGGGTTTTAGTAGGAGCTTGGTGTGTCGATTGTTTATGACAATGTCGTTACATAATATGTAATAATGTAAGTAATAATAAGTAAACATGAAAAGACTACAATAAATTCAATACATTTCAATTTCTTAAAACATACATGTTATGTAATATTATATTATATATATACTAATATATTGTATTACAAAGTTTAATTACTTCAATTCATAGTTCAGGAGAAAAGATAAAAAAAATAGAAATGTTGGGACTGTTCATGCCAATGTTTTTACGGATTCAAATGGTTACACCGCTTGGGTGTGATATAAAATCTCTCTCATTTATATTTTATAATAAGGATAGCCACCTATTCATCATAACTGAGTATATTTACTTATACTTAACATATTTACTTGATTAAAAATCAAGAGAGTATAATGTAAAGCGTAAAAGGTTTTTGTCATGGAAGTATGTATAGATTTTATTATTTTGGTGCAATTCAAAAACAATTTACTGTAGATATACATTTTCCACCAAATATTAAGTTGGTATTTTCTATAAACTTTAGAATTCACATCAAAATATTTTGTTCCTTTTTTAGCTCCTTATAACTTTTAAAGTATACAATCATATTTTAAACACAAAATGACATTTTCAAATATAGTTTTTGGAAAAAAATTAATCTACCCTACAGTTTTATGAATGGGAAAATAAATTACTTTGTGATCAGTAACATCATAAAATATAGGTACTTAGAAGTAGGCTGACATACTGTGAACGCTAAGAATCATTTTATATCATTTAAATCAAATTTAACTTATCCAATACAGCAAGCCTGGGCATAAACGCGTTAAAAAGTTAAAAGTTAAGTTAATTTTAACTTTTAACTTAACTTTTTAAAATTTAATATTCATTAACTTAATTTTTAACTTAACTTATTTTAACTGATATAAACTTAATAAATAACGAGTTACTTTTAATCAAATTCAAGTTAAGTTAATTTATAAATAATTAAATAATAAATATAATAAAAATAAAAATTATTATTGACATTACATAACCATTTATTAGAATAGGAAATTACAAATATAGTTAAATTAATTTCTTGTTCCGTTAACCAGAATTCTTCAAGAAAAATAACTCAATTAAATACATATAGATATAGCAATATGCAATACCCAATAGCCCAGGGATCGGCAACTGGCGGACCGCGGTCCGGATCCGGACCGCGGAAGGCAAAACTATGGACCCTGTCAACACATTGTACTTCATTATGTTATTTTCTCCAAAACTCCAAATGGAAATAATAGACCTACAGGAAGATGTTTCCTTGAAGCAGTACAGAAGTGCGTCAACTGAAGAATTCTGGGCTAAAGATGCCATTGACAAGTATTCAAATTGTAAGCAACTGGCAATCAACTTGGCTACGATGTTTGGTTCGACATACATTTGTGAGGCATCGCTTTCAAAAATTAATTTTTTGAAAAACAAATATCGGACAAAATTAACAGACTCTCACCTTGAGGACACATTGCGCATAAGCTGTTCCCCATGAGTTCCCGATTTCAAAAAGCTGGCTAAGGAAAAGAAATGCAATTTTTCGCATTAAATAATTTACTGTAATAAATATATTTTTTTTTCATACTTTTAATATTTTAATTTTTAATATAAATTAATTGTAATAACTGAATAATTATTTTTATTTTTATACTGCTATTTTTAAAATATAAAGATTTGAAAAAGATTTTTTTCACTGGACCTCATTGATTTATTATTTTAATCTTTAGGACTCCAATAGAAATTACTTGCCGACCCCTGCAATAGCCAATGATATTATAACATAGAGGTGTATCGTATATATAAAGATATACCGTACCGACGTACCATACTGCATATTAACGGGCATATTGTAATAATAATAATTAATAAATACTAATAACTAATATATACCTATTATTTTATTATTTTGATATAGATACAAATCAAAAATGTAAGTAGTATATATTTGTATGTTCACAGCCAGCTTTTACAGGGAAAAAAAAAAAGTTCAAGGGGGGAATGTCCCCTTGGAGCACTCAGATTTACCGTGTAACACAATTTCACACTGATTGACTACCAAATTTCGTCTCACACAAAAAATATTTAACATTTACCATTTTTTAAAACTAAAATAATTATTTCAAGAAAAAACACAAATTATTAAATCATAGTTTTTTTATTGTTACAAATAAATTCTTAATAATATTTACACAAGTTTTCTTACTTCTCTAGTAAAAGGTACATATTCTACAATACGATCATGAATTAAGAAACAGTAAGCAGTCACACCTGTGAGCGATTCTGAAGCTTCAATTTCCAATTGAACATCCACTGCTGAGGCTGTGGCTGAATCGTTTTGTTTCGAAGTATCGATAACTATAATTGGAGCGTTTGTCAGAAAAGTAGAAGGACTCAATATCGGGTTGCGAATACTTTTTTCATAGTACGATTCTTGAAACGATGTATACATATTATATAATAAGGTGAAGTTATTTTTAGTAAAATCTAAATTCAAATTATCGTATGGATAAGCTATAGAGTTCAGAAATACTTTAACGTTTGTTAAATTACAATGATCAAATATACTACAATCTTTTGTTAGCAAATTTTTGCGTCCTTTTTGTAATCCAATTATGATAAATCGTGGTTTTTCTAATTTTGAAGCAGTTTTCAAATTCCATACAACTTTTTTAGTGGTTCCGAGTTCAGGATATTCAAAAGTTTCAAAAGATCTAAAATAATATCTAGAATAAAATGGTAGTATAAATAATATTTATTATAATGATAGCATAAATAATTTAATTTTTTTATAGAATGCATCATACAGAGATAATGTTACCGAACGTTTGAGATCAGAAGAATTTGATGTCGAGTTAATTAATTCGCTAACATTTAGACAAGGGGACGGTGGTGTTGTAACAATCAAGTCACCTTTTGAAGAAAAAGCAAAGGAGCTTTGGGTAATTAGCCACTATAAGGTTGCTAACATTGAGAATGTACCAGTAAAAGACAGGTAGATACATTGGTTTAAATTTAAAAAACCTATTGATGAATCTGTTTTTTTTTTTCACTGATTTTATTTACTTCTTTTGTTTTTAAAATAAAATAATTTGGTGTTATAGATGGAAGTTCAGTGAAGCTACTGTCAGATTGTATACAAGCGATGAATCAAAAGATCAAACGCTTCATACTGGTCTTAATGAGGCAATGCAAACCATATTTGACAAATTACTAACCGATCCGAAGCGTCAGACTATTAAAAGCAAGACGACCGTTTGATTATTATATGAAAAAATGAGTTTCATTTAATAAACAAAATATTATTATACATGTATGTTTTTATTTATTCAAAACTTAAAGGTCTTGGAAAACATAAACCTATAAACTATGGTTGGTTGGAAAAAAATTTAAAATATTAACAAATTAAAACTAAAACTTATTAAAACTATTCTTTATGATTTAAGGTGAGATGTAATTAAAATAAAAAGCAAGTTTATTATTGAATAAAAGTTTTATTAAAAAAAAAAAAAAAACAATAATTATACATATTTAAATATTTTTTTATGATATTAGGTCTTGTAAAATCATATCAGACAATGTGTTAAAATGGAATTGTAATATTTCATATAAAAATGATGTGTCATCGTTCTGTAGGTGATTATAATAATTAAAATCATAGTTTTGAATATATTGGTTGGTAAATTCGTTCCTTTGACAGGTGGACGGCAGACCACGGACATCATTTTTAATTAGGTCATATGCAGTGTTGAAAGTATTTTGATAATTTGCTAAACGTTTTTGCTTGTCTACCACGTACAAATCTATCAAATTCTGTAATTGACGAAGTCGGTACAAATCTACATGTGACAAGGTAATGTATTCCTCATTTAGATGTAGGGTAATTAAACTCTGTTTAACATTGGTTGAATATGAAAAGGAATCGGTGATTTTTACACGCCTCACCCTAGTATTTAAATTATTAATAATCGAATTGTAATTAGGTTCAGACATCAGTGTAAACCATTCTTCTAAACTTAATGTGATAATTTTCTTTGTAAGTTTACATTCCAATAATAAAATAATTGAAATCTGCTTGTTAATTAGTAATCCAACTGTAATACTTTTCTTGTTAAAAGCCCGGATGTCGAATGTAGACTTACAGACAATTATTGGTGAACTCATGGTGAAGTTATTTTTGACAAATTAAAAAAAAAAATCTTTTATAAATAAGAAGTGGGATATAACTGTTAGGAGTTATACATTGAACTGCTAGTTTGTTCCCTTTGCAGTCATATTATATACTAAAAAACTCTGGAAAAAATGCAAAAAATGTGAACATACAGATAGCCAATGAGTGCGTACAAGAGAGGGAATTTACATATACTTACTAACCTGTTACCTGAAAAACATTTTAAATTATTTTATACGCACTAATTCGCTAGGACTGTATGTCCACGAGATATTAAATCGAATATTAACACATTTAAGATAAAAAATTCAATTTTGTTTTATTTTTTTTTTATCCAATACAGCAAATATTATAAGCAGCATAAATATATGTACCTATATATAAACATTTAAAAAAAAAAAACATGATTTAACAAATGGTGTCGTACGAACCGGTTTCACAATTACAAATAACTTCGGTTTTACAATATTTACTTAAGACTTTTTGAACAAACTGATTTCCTTTCATTAACAATACAAATAAACATCTAGGTGAGAATCGAGTATGTTCTATGAAACAATTATCACCGATTTCAAAACTATGTAGAATTATTCCACACCAATGACATTGAACTGCATCGTCGAGATTGATATAGTAAAATCCACATTCCGAGAGTTTGTACTTATTCTGTCCGGTATTTGAAGGGAAACTTCTAAAAGTTCGTAACCTCGATACAAATGTAGAGAATTCTGGATACGCTGGCGATGAATTGAATCGTATTTGATCGACCAATGACTGGATATGGTTTGTGCATTTTTGAAAATTCATTTTTGAAGAAATTAAATAACTTATTCAATTTAATAAAACTTTGAGAAAATAAAGAAAAATGAGACACAACTTGAGTGAACGATAGTTCATTAGTAACTGAATATAATAAAAAAAAATAATCAACTTTAAAAATTATTGTAAATTTGTTTATCAAATTTTAGATAAAAAAACAGTGTAACCAACACGAGTAAAAAAGAAAAAAATATTAAATATTTTTTTGCGTGAGACGAAATTTGGTAGTCAATCAGTGTGAAATTGTGTTACACGGTAAATCTGAGTGCTCCAAGGGGACATTCCCCCCTTGAACTTTTTTTTTTCCCTGGAAAAGCTGGCTGTGAACATACAAATATATACTACTAATGTACAATTCTGAAGAACATAATGTAAAATATTTTCGGCATAAATAGGTTATTTTTAAATTAAAACTAATTGGGTTATGCCCATGTACATTTATATTTCAAATATTTATATTTATAAACAGTCAAAATTGTCAGTAGACAAAATATTCATAGCCCACTTGGGTTCACTTTTCGTTCTCGGCTCTATCAACACGGAACACACGATTTCGGATTTACAATACCGCGTTTCAGTGATTTGTGTGAATTATGTGAATTGTGTGAATCACAGTGACTATCAGTGTTCAGTAAATATTTTACTGAAGTATAAAGTTGACTAAGTACTATATTCTCTAACAGTTTTAGATTTTTAGAGATTCAGAGTTTAAAATGAAGTACATTTTTAAATACTATGTTATTTTTATTTAATAATTTAAAAAAAATATATAATACTTATCTGTATTAGTGTATTAATAAAATATCAAAAGAGTGTATTTGTTTCGGCATTTTCAATTTTGTACCTACTATATAATAATTATGGGTAGGTAGAATTATTCTATTAATTCAGTACCTACCTATGTATAGAAAAGCTATTGGCTATTTCCTGTGTTCAATAATATTTATGATTTTTATTATTTTAAACCATATTACTGGGTATTTATATAGATACAGTAGAACTTCCATATAACGGTCACCAAAGGGACTGTAAATAATGACCGCTATTTAGAGGTGACCGTCCTTCAGATGTAGGATAACACTCGACGGGACCAAAAAAATTGAACGTTACATAGAGGTGACCGTTTACGGAAGTTTTACTGTATTATGAAAAAAAAAAAATTAACTTAACTTAACTTAAGTTAATAAGTTAATTGAAAATGTTCATATAACTTTTAACTTAACTGAGTTAAAAAAAAATTAGGTTAACTGTTAACTTTAAACTTTTTAAAATGTTTTCCATTAACTTAACTTAACTCAGTTAAAAATTTTCATTAACTTGCCCAGGCTTGCAATACAGTGACCTCCACGACATTTTATATACAGCAGAACGGGCCCACTATCCAAACATTTATTAATTTGTATAAACTATCTCTTTTAGATACAACCACATGTTAAAAGAAATGTTTAAAGTATAAACATTTTATCATGAAAATTAATATTATACTATATAATGTAAATTTAATTCGT